AGAGACAGATGCCAAGTATCTCATCCATGGTAACCAAGTCCACTGTCTCAAAACGGTTGTTTCAAACAGAGTATGACCAAAAGGAATTATAGGAACTATAATCATTTCTGGCAGTGAATGAGCAAAATGACTAAAAGGGATTATAAAAATGAAACAAAACACATCAATTTAGGAATTGGTACCTATCAATGACCTATCTACCTTCCTCATGTAGTTGACAGTCAGATAAAACATATTAATCTTCCAACGGATGTTCAATATGATCTCTTTCTCCAGTACATTACAAGATCGTTCAAAGGCTCATTAAAAAACTGAGTTAACTGCTGACCTATACCAAATAACCATGTCTTTGTACTCATCTCCCAAATAGAACCTATCAGTGCCTAGTGATGTCTCTGGCACACAAAATCCTCAAAAAATATTTGAACCACTATTTCCCTCGACAAACAAAATAAACTTCCTATATCTGATCTGACTTTTGAAAACATAATTAGATAGTTATAAGACATTGAATTTTGAAAACATAATTAGGTAGTTATAAGACATATTGAAAATACTGACTGGACATGGTGGCTCACGCCTATAATCCCAGCACTTTGGGAAGCCAAGGCAGGTAGATCACTTGAACTCAGGAGTTCAGACCAGCCTGGCCAACATGGTGAAACCTTGTCTCTACTAAAAATACAAAAATTAGCCAGGCACAGTGGTGCGTGCCTGTAATCCCAGTGACTTGGGAGGCTGAAGCAGGAGAATCACTTGAAACCGGGAGGGCGGAGGTTGCAGTGAGCCGAGATCGAGATCATGCCACTGCACTCCACAGTGAGACTACACCTCAAAATAAAATAAAAAGTAAAAAATAAAATAATAGTAAGAATATCATGTTCCATAAAACTGGTTTAAATTTTTACAGCATATCTCCAAGACAGTAGGTTAAGGTTTTTAAAATTACTGTTCAATCTTCTCTGTATTTTCCAGATTTTTAACAACGAATATGTATACAATGAACATGCATTCCAAATTTTTGAAACGGTAAAAAATAAACTACTGAATAATCCCCCAAATCAGAAAGGTTTCAACTTTCTTATATTATTTTCTTATTTTATTTTAGTTTTTTAGACACCTGCTTCCACTATGTTGCCTAGGCTGGAATGCAGTGGCAATTCACAAGTGTGATCACAGCACACTGCAGCCTTGAACTCCTAAGTGATACTCCTGACTCAGCCTCCATAATGGCTGAGATTACAGGTGCTTACCACAATACCTGGCACATTTCGACTTTCACTAAGAATAACCAGGCCGGCTGGGCGTGGTGGCTCAAGCCTGTAATCCCAGCACTTTGGGAGGCCAAGACGGGTGGATCACAAGGTCAGGAGATCGAGACCATCCTGGCTAACACGGTGAAACCCCGTCTCTACTAAAAAATACAAAAAAAAAACTAGCCGGGCGAGGTGGCGGGCACCTGTAATCCCAGCTACTCGGAGGCTGAGGCAGGAGAACGGCGTAAACCCGGGAGGCGGAGCTTGCAGTGAGCTGAGATCCGGCCACTGCACTCCAGCCTGGGCAACAGAGCGAGACTCCGTCTCAAAAAAAAAAAGAATAACCAGGCCAGTTGCAGTGGCTCACACCTGTAATCTCAGCACTTTGGGAGGCTGAGGCGATATAAAGACCCTGTTCTCCACCAAAAAAAAAAAAAAAAAAAAAAAAAAAAGCAAAAACAAAACAACACAACAAACCAACAACAAAAATAAGAACAACCAAGTATCTCCTGTATACCACCACAGGTTTGAAACCTGGCCTCATACAATGTGTCACTTAACCAAATGTGTTTCCTTTATGGTTTCTCAGCTATTGCTGAGGTAATCCAAAGTAAATGAAAAGCAATTTACATGCCTACTAATTATCTCAAGCCATATCCAGGACTTTAAACCTTTCCCTCTGGTACTTCACATCAAGCTATGGCTTACCTGAGAACTTTTAAATATTTCCAATCATACGAATCAGGAGAATAATGTGTGGTATAGTCAGTGTAACTTTAAGAGAGCCAAACCTGCTTTTTATATGTACCAAAATTAGAAGTGTTTGTATTGGTTCCTAAAGTCAGGGTTGGTTTGTTACCAAAGAGCCCGCCACTGGTTGTACCAAATGAAGGTGCACTGGTTGTGCTGCTTCCAAATGTAGTAAGCTTGTTATTGCCAAACAGGGTCTAAAAAGAATAGAATACAGGAAAATTTAAAATAATATTAAGACACACACCAAACTAAATACAGGTTACCTCAGGTATATTGGATTGGGTACGGGGTGGGGGAAAGATGTCCTAACATTTATAAAAAAGGTAGAAGAAAGATGAATAAAGGCTATCAAAAAATATAAACACAGAATGCTTCTGGCCTGAAAAGTTAATGGTGACCCCTAAGGATTACCACTGAAACACAAGGAATCCAATGAAACCGGATTTCAGTGAGGCAAAGAAAAAAACAACGAGGCCATCAAATATCTTTTTACCTGTTAAGAGACATGTAGCAAATATTTACTTTGCCAGAAGAAATCATTACAAGAAAAACTTTGAACACGCTACAACATGGACGAACCTTGAAAACGCTACGCTAAGTGAAAGACACCAATCACAAAAGACCATATATTATGATTCCATTTACATGAAGTGTTCAAAATAGTCAAATCCATAGAGAGAAAGCAGGCTTAAGATGATCAGAGGAAAATCGGGAGTGACTGCCAATGACTATGGCATTTCTTTTTGGCATAATGAGTATGTTCTAAAACTACTGATAGTTGCACATTTTGTCGATATACTAAAAACCACCTAGCTGTACACTTTAAAGAGACAAATTGTAAGGCATGTGGACTATACATCAATAAATCTGTCACTAGAAAGTACTGGAAGCAGGGCACAGTAGCTCACGCCTGTAATCCCAGCACTTTGAAAGGCCAACGTGGGAGAATCACTTGAGGCCATGAGTTACCAGCCTGGCCAACATGGCAAAATCCCACCTCTACTAAAAAATACAGAAATTAAGGCCAGGCGTGGTGGCTCACGCCTGTATTCCTAGCACTTTGGGAGGCCAAGGCAGGTGGGTCATGAGGTCCTGGCCACCATGGTGAAACCCCATCTCTACTAAAAATACAAAAATTAGCTGGGCATGGTGGCGGACGCCTGTAATCCCAGCTACTCAGGAGGCTGAGGCAGAGACTGCAGTGAGCCGAGATCGTGTGCCACTGTACTACAGCCTGGTCAACACAGCGAGACTCCGTCCCAAAAAAAAGAAAAAAAAAAAAATTAGCCTGGTATGGTGTCACATGCCTGTAATCCCAGCTACTTGGGAGGCTGAGGCACGAGAATCACTTGAGCCTGGGAGGGAGAGGTTGCAGTGAGCCAAGATCATGCCACTGCAGTACAGCCTGGACAACAGAACGAGACTCAGTTTCAAAAACAACCACCACCACCACCACAACAAAAGTATTAGAATGTCTTGAAGCATTATCTAATTTTCTCAATTTCTCACCTCAATTATCTGTCCAAAGTTTAAAAAAAGAAAAGAGAAATTTCAATCTCCATGAAAACAGGACCATATGTTTTAGGAACTTTGTGCTCCTTTTTTATAAGATGGAGTTTTGCTCTTGTTGCCCAGGCTAGAGTGTAATGGGGAGATCTTGGGTCACTGCAACCTCCACTTCCTGGGTTCAAGTGATTCTCCTGCCTCAGCATCTCAAGTAGCTGGGATTATAGGCACCCACCACCACACCCGGCTAGTGTTTTTTTGTATTTTCAGGAGAGATGGGGTTTCACCATGTTGGCCAGGTTGGTCTCGAACTCCGACCTCAGGTGATCCACCGGCCTCGGCCTCCCAGAATGCTAGGATTACAGGCGTGAGCCACCGCACCTGGCCCTTTTTTCTTTTTTTAACCAACTCACAACAGCAAGTTCAAAGCTTCTTCCATGAGTATCTCAACAATTTCAACAACCTGATCAACCCCAAAAACATTTCATTCCCAAATATCATACCAATTTATCACCTACAAAGGAGGGAAGAACTAGGAGTTAAAAATCATCTGATTCAAACAAAGCAAAAGAACTTGAATTTAGACTCAACAGTTTAACCAATGCTATCAGAAGTATGATGCACATAAGCACTGAGGCAAAGAAATTTTAAAAAGGAAAGAATTTACTAATTGAAAACCTGAAGTTAACCTGAAATTACCTCTTATATCAAATTGCCTTTTGTTCTCAAAATCAAATCATATTAGGCTGGTACAATAATATACCCAATAAAAAAATACTTGCAAGAGAGTCAAATCCTTAGAAGAAAATTCCTTTAACAAATCTACAGACATCTTCAAATTACAGTCAACTGTAGAAACCTACCGAACCAACAGCACCAAATCCAGTATTGGTCTGCCCAAAGAGACCTGTTCCTGTTCCAAATGCTGTCCCAGTGCTGGTGTTTGTAGCTGTCCCAAAAAGACCTCCAGGCTGTGAGGCTTGGGTTACTCCAAATAAACCCTGCAAAGAAGTTTATATAGATTAAAAGATACCCTACAATAGTTTCCGCATCGAGTCTCAGATTAACAAAAAAAAAAAAGTTACCATTTTTTCAAACTTATGACAAATACTAGGCTAAATAACTTAGATTTAGGTGAAAAGAACTAATCACTATCAAGCTGGGGAGTGGACTTAAAATCAAGTAACCAAAAATAATCAGCGAAAATAAATCAACACGGACTGAGGTAGTAGTGTTATGTTAAAGAGCCTTATTCCTTTTTTTGATAATGGAGTTTCGTTCTGTTGCCCAGGCTGAAGTGCAGTGGCACAATCTCAGCTCACTGCAGCCTCCGCCTCCTAGGTTCAAGTGATTCTGTCGCCTCAGCCTCCCAAGTAGCTGGGACTACAAAGGCATACCACCACATCCAGCTAATTTTTGCATTTTTAGTAGAGATGGGGTTTCACAACGTGCCCAGACTGGTCTCAAACTCCTGACCTCAGGTGATCCATCTGCCTTGGCCTCCCAAAACGCTGGCGTGAGCCACTGAACCCAGCCAAAAGCCTTAATTCTAAATGAGACACTATACTCATTTCCAGTGAGCAATCTGCATCATCCTATGTTTAACAATGTATTTTACTTATGCATTAATAAAGGAAAAATATTGTGCTAATAGACTTGCTGAAGAGGGAATTCACTGTGCTGTTTCTTAAAGTTTTATTGAGACACAATTCACACACCACAAAATTCACTCATTTATAGTGGACTATTCAGTGATGTTTTGCGTGTTCACAGTTGTGCAACCATCCCTACTATCTAAATTCTCACTACCCCCAAAAGAAATCCCAGACCCATCAGCAATTACTCCCCATCCCTAGGGAACCATTAATCTTTTTCTGTGGATTTTTTTAAAAATTCTGAACATTTAATATGAATGGAGTCATTAAAAATGTGGTCTTTTGTGACAGACTTGTTTCATTAGCAAGTTTTCAAGGTTCACCTGTGTTGTAGTATGCATCAGTACTTCATTCCAATTTATGGTTAAACAATATTCCATTATATGCATATACCACAATTGGTTACCCATTCATTGTTAATAGATCTTTAGGTAATTTCTACATTTTAGTCATTATGAATAATGCTGTCATGTTCATTTGTGTACAAGTCTGTGTCTTATTTTTCTTTGGTAAATCCCAAGATGTGCAACTGCTGGTTCATATCATAACTCTGTTTAACATTTTGAGGAACCACCAAACTGTTTTCTTAACGGGGTGGCACCATTTTACATTCCTACCATCAATGTATAACGGTTCCAACTTCTCCAGGTTCAATACTTACTACTGGCTTTTTTTTTGTTTTTGTTGAGTCTCACACTGTCACCGAGGCTGGAGTGTAGTAGCGCGATCTTGGCTCACCACAACCTCCGCCTCCCGGGTTCAAGAGATTCTCCTGCCTCAGCACCCCGAGTAGCTGGGACAACAGGCGGGCACCACTATGCCTGGATAATTTTTTGTTATTTTTAGAAGAGACGGGGTTTCACCATGTTGTCCAGGCTAGTCTCGAACTCCTGACCTTGTGATCTGCCCGCCTTGGCCTCCCAAAGTGCTGGGATTAAAGGCGTGAGCCACCATGCCTGGCCTATTACTGTCTTTATTATATCTTTCAAGTAGGTGCAAAGTGGTATTTCATTTTGGTTTTCATTTGCCTTTCCCTGATGACTTAGGACGTTAAGCATATTATCACACCACTTACATATCTTCTTTGGAGAAATGTCAATTCAAATCCTGGGCCCTTTTTAAATAAGTTATTGTCTTACTACTGAATTGTAAGAGTTATTTATATATCCTGGATACAAGTCCTATATCACATATACGATTTTCAAATATTTTCTTCCATTTACAGGTCTTCTTTTCATTTTGATGATATCCCCTTGATACATAAATGTTTTTCTGGCATCTTTTTTTTTTTTTTTTTTTTTAGAGATAGGGTATCATTACCTTACTCAGGCTAGAGTGCAGTGGCCTATTCATAGCACGATGATAGTGCACTGCAGCTTCTAACTCCTGATCTCAGTGATTCCCCGACCTCAGCCTCCTGAGTAGCTGGGACGACAAACATGTGCTAAAAGGCCTGGCTAAAAGGTTTTAATTTTGAAAAAGCCCAATTTATCTATTTTTTCTTTTTCTGCTTTTGCTTTTGGTGTTGTATCTAAGATATTATTGTCTAACTAGGTTTCTTCTAACAATTTTATAATTTTAGCCCTTGCATTTAGAAATTTGATCAATTTGGGCCAGGCGCAGTGGCTCAAGCCTGTAATCCCAGCACTTTGGGAGGCCGAGACGGGTGGATCACGAGGTCAGGAGATCGAGACCATCCTGGCTA